TTCCTTCCGCTTGGACTCGAACCAGCAACCTTGCGGTGAGCAGCTGAACGCATAAGCATCTGTGCCACTCAGACCAACTCTGCTTTGCCCAGAGTCACCAAATTAGTAAGAGGCTTCACAGACCTGTCACCTGGCATCCACGGCCCCCGTATCTTCACCTCTCCAAGGGACCACTAACCCAGGACCTGCTCTGAGGCTGCAATTCCCGTCATCCCAGCGCCCTGTGAGCGTTAGTGCCAAGGCATCTGCCCGCCAAGAGGGGCAGTGGTTCACCCCATCTTCCTGGCATCCGACTACGGGACACGGAAACGCTTTTTCACAGGCTGGTGCTGGGGCGAGAACACGGGTCCTCGATAAACCTTCCTTTGTTCCACCCACCTCTCTGAGCACTGAGTGAAGGTTCCAGGTGATTCACTCATGTGAGGCGTGATGTACACATTCAGAAATGGTATGGCAGGCCAGGGTGCTAAACCCGGGATGGAAGAAACAGCCCTGCTCCCCAAAGCACACGGGGAAGCCCCTAAATCATTTATAAGTAACAGCGGTTCATACGTCGGGTGTGTTATTTGTAGTCTTTGTGACCGAACGTGTCCATGAAGGCAGCGGGAGCTCGGACCAGGGAAGCCAGATGGCCGAATAACACACACACGGGATAACGCGTTCCCAGACAACGGGATGCTAGCCCCACAGGATTGGATAAACGGTTTTCAGTTGTGTCTGAAAGAAGACGCCGTGGAGGGCTCAGAGAGCCTGTACTATGGCTGCGTCCTTACATGCCTGTCTTTGGAACACGTACATCTCATACAATGTGCGATTTGGGGAGTGCACTTCCATTAGACGCCTTCCTTTATTGGAACAGGGGAGTTACAACAAGATATCTCCCAAAATAAGAGCGTCGAACCAAACCCAATGGCGTCAGGTTGGCTTTGACTCACGGCGACCCCATGGAGCCGTGCTTCACACGGTTTTCAGTGGCCGGTTCTTCAGATGTACACGGCCTGGCCTTTCTTCAAAGGCAGTCCTGGGCAGACTCGAACCTTTGACCTTTTTGGTCAGCAACTGAGCGCATTAACCGTTTGTACCATCCGAACAGGCCCTGCTGACATTTCCACCAAGACTGATTAATTTGAGGTTTGCATCATATTACTTCTCTAAAAGTAAAAGGCTGTCAGTCTTCAAAGAAGCAAAGCCCAAACCACACCCACTGCCGTGGAGTCCATTCTGACCCACAGCGCCCCTAGAGGACAGAGTGGAAC